ATATATATATATATACATGTATGTATGTATATAATAAAAAAATTACAGGTTTATTTTAGCAGAAAGTGATTTTTGGCCCACCCTACATTTTTTAACTACAATTATTTTTTAATTACAATTACTTTCGTTTGCACAAAAATTGCTTCTTAAACTTTCTATCATCCATCGATGTGATCGTTATGAATTATAAATTCGATTTACCTGATTTGTTGAAGCGAACGGAGTTTCTCATCGGTCGATGATCCTTGATCAGAATTCGGTGCGTCGATTGAATCGGATAGTGAATTGTCAATTCGCAGTCGGTTTCCTAGATTGTTGCTTGGCTTGAAAATAACCACTTCGTCGGATTCTTCGTTGTTTATTTGATTTTTCTCTAAGAGGAGCGTTTCGATCAGCTCGTTTATCATTTTAAACCGCGATCCTAGCCAACTGCAGAGTGATTTTTTTAAAAAGTCGCAATAAGTCTGATACGCGATGAATGCTTTATTCATAGCGTCCCATTTTACACCGAAAATACGAAATTAATTATTACTTTTATTGTTCACGTACAATATAACTGTGTTGTAGTCGTACAAAACAATCGACTGCGTGTTCGTCATGTAGAAGAAATTGAAAATAATCAATATTTCTACTGGTAGACTAAAGAATGTATTTCTATTGATTATCCGTTCGGTGCACATTCCGCATATTATGAGCGCAATTAGTATCCAAAGAGACCCTACGATTTTCACGTGACGAAACAAATCGCTGTAATCGATTTTGGTTCCCAATTTCTTCAAAATTTCGTCGACTTCGTCGATCTGTTTTTCCATTGTCAATACATTCTGAATAGAAAAGTAATTAATTAATGAAAGTAATTAATTATATCCCTTGCCTTACGGTTTTCTTTACAATCTTGTTTGGTAAGCTATGTGTTGGGCAAAATTTTATTCAGATGATAGATGAGGTGCAAAATTAACAAAAAAAAAAATTTTTTTTATTTGCCACTACTGAATAAAATAAGTATTCGCATACTCGTTCGTATAATGCACTCAGATACAGATTTATTTGAATAAGAAGAATAAGCTATCATTGTTATATTTATTTAATTATATCATATCAAACACGAAGAAAGATTATTCATTTATTCAAGATTTGAAAAATGTGGAATTGCACGATTCTTTTCACATTTAAAATAAAGTTTTTTTTCAAATATTACGCGTTTACGCATATGTGACCGAACGCATATATTCACGAAAATTTAGAACAGAAATAATAATTATTTACATTATTATACGAAAAATTCATTCAAATAAAATATTCGAACAAATAGAGAGAATAAGTTATTACGAATAACGAATAATTATCATCCGATTGAAATATTCGACTAAAGAAAATATGTATGTTCGAACAATTATTTTAAATAAATATTCTGGTATATAATTCATTACTTGTATTTATGATCTTATTAATTCGTATCTTCGATTTAGAAAATTGAAGTTTAAAAAATTCCGTGGTATTGTAATTTGTTCTCTTCCACAGAATTCAGACTATAATTACATACCACGAGCGTGATTGATGGAAGACGAAGGGATAAGTATGATAAAACTACAATATATAGTGAGCTTATTTAAGAAGAACGAACAATTTTCAATTCTATTGAAAAAGAATCTGTTATTCACCTTGGACTGATACAGACCAATAATTATTGAACTCGTATATCCAAGTATATTAGTAGCATGTTGGAATACGCGTGACATATTTTCCATGTTAAACATAGAATACTCGCCTAGAAGATTCAATACATATATTATAAACAAAAATGGAACAACACCCATCGTAAGAATAGAAATCGTGTTCCAGATCCAGCTCAATATGAATTTGAATTGGTCTTGTCTTGGATCTATGAAGTTCCGGCGTGCCGCTATATAATTCAATATGGTCACCATCCTTATTGCTGCCTTGTAGTCGTCCATCTAGTTGTCTTAACCTAGTTGTGCAGATTAAATTAAAAAAATTTTTTTTAACAATTTTTGACAACTACTTCAAACGTGGCAAGTTAAGAAAGCAATAGAATTTTGTTCCCTTCGTGGGGAATTTTGAATGGATTTCAATAAAGTTGCTTAGTAAATCTAGAATCTATTTCTTTTGTACAGAATGGAAAATAGAAAAAAACGAAGAAAAAACAACATAAACAAATTAAATTAGAGATTAAAATTACACTGTTATTATTTCAAATTTGATTGTTGTAATCAAATTAATTTAACTAGCTACATTTATTGTTCACTTTCACAGTTCACATTCACAAATTGCGGATTATTACAAAAAATTAGACGAGTTATAAAATTCTTTTTAATGTTCTTCGTGAAGAAAATGTGGTCAAAGAGAAGAATGATTGATTACGCAATGAACGACATCAGAAAAGAAAAAAGAAAAAAGAAAGAATAAAGTTAATCCATCAACGTGAACTTTAACGTAACGAAACTGTTTAATTAAACTTGTCATAAGATCATCACTATTCGTTAATTTTGAATCGTTGGATTTCATAACAAGTTCATTTCATTTTCCTAAAAGTAGAAAATGTAATTAAAAATCGATGTGGCCTAATGACGTGTGTACTATTATATCATTAGCTACGTATAGCAGTAAAGTTGAATTTTGGATCTTACCTTTCACAAGTTTGGAAACGAACGAACAAACGAAACACTTTATATTGACGTCCAGCAATTTCAACGCAGTACGAACAGGAATTATAATGAAGAGGAATGCATTTCACGATATTAGATTCATATGTCATAGAATCGAATTACCTAATAGTATTTTAATTTTGAATCTTATCCTTTACTTGCTTACACGCGTGTGGAAAATTTACATTGATCTTGAGTGAATGCAACGCACTCCGAGTAAAAATTAATAATGTTATGCCAGTTCGAACACGAGGCATTAACGTGACTTCTTTCTTCGATTGTGCGACTCAATGTAATAGCAATTCAATATGTGTCTCATGTCATTAAGGAAATTGTAAAAGAGAGAAGGTATTTTAGCTATTAGACACGGTGACAAATGGTGGATATTGTTTTGATTGATTACGATCGCATTGGAAAGTTATATTAATTATTACTTTGATCAATAGACGCAAAAAATTATTAATTTTCTACCACTAACAAAAAGTGTTTACTACTTCAGTGGAATATTATATTTTATTAATTCATCTGGTTAATACATTTACCTCCTCGTTATTTATTAATTTCATTTGTTAAAAGAAGAAAATAATTTATAAAATCCAAATTAACAACAAAAGAAGGATTTATTATATTAAAAATTAATACAATTAAAAATTGACAATAATTATTCATGATGGAGTGGAGTGACATAAAGTCATTTATCTCGCATCATAATTGTCAGTATAAAATGCACAAATATTATTATTAACAAAGAACTACCTGAATTTTATGTATATTATAGAAAATATTTCTATTAACGACTAATAAACGAAAGGATTAAAAGAACTTTTTTACAAGAAGCTCATAAGATAAGCTTAAAAAAGACATTTGTAAAGGTCTTCCAAAATTAATACAAATGAAAATTAACAATATTGGATAATGGAGTAGAGTGTTTCTCATTTTGTCTCTGTGCTTGTAGAGAAATCAATACTCGTATCGAACTCGGAAATTCAGTCTTCAAACTGGATGCGACCTTCGCTTCACAATCATTTTATGTTATCATTTATCAATTTTTACTTTATTATTTTTCCAAAAATTAACACAATAACGAAAAATGCTAATATAATCAAACTCGAACTTCCTTATTTCTTTGAAGATATTCGAACTTATATCTTCCTTTTTTTAAAATTCTGTATTTACCATTCATATTTCTTCGTCTTTCATGCATAGATTTTCTAAAATTAAAATTAAAATATCGCTAAAATTAATTATTCTTCGACACATATAATTCATTCAATATTTTCACACAGAGAATGAAGTCGAATTTCTTTTTTCTACAATTCTGCAAATTTTATCTTTGTTTTTCATGCACCGACTTTTCAAAATTGAAATTACAATGTCTTCTAAACTAATAGTTTTCCGACATACATAAGCCAATATTTTTTCATAGAGAATGTATTGATTAATCGATTGAAAAATATATGATGCCGTTTAAAATAGTGGAGATCTTGAAGTCTCTGAAACCCTTATATTCCTTAATTCTTAAATTTTCGCAGATGAAGATCTACAAAGGAATTGTTACTGTTATATTTTAGTACCTTTTCTATACTAAATAACTTTTATTAATAAAATGAAAATATTCAAGGTATACTAATTCTTATTAGTTTTCTTACTAGTAATTCTTATAAAACCATTTTATGTGTGTTTAAAAGCAATAGATGCAGAATTTGAAAGAATTTCTTTATTTAGGCCAAATCCATTATCTCCACATAGTCAAATTTTTCTCTACTATATCATTATTACTCTTTTTCATCCAAATCTTCTCGATATCCAGAATTTCTGGAAATCTCATTTTTTTTGTAAAGAGAAAATAATTCGTCACTGTAATATATTCGATCTAGTGAAGCGATAGTTCCATAAAAATTCTATTTCTATTGGCCTCGTGTTGAATCTCTTAGGGAGGGGAAAAAAAAAAAAAGAAATTGCAGAAGGAAAATGGAAACGAAATGGAGCAAAATCGATGAGCCGTGAAGTTAGAGCACGTCTCGCCGAGTTCCGGTCGAAAAGTCTGTCTCGTTTGATGATGGTCGGCAAATAGGAAGCCCCAGTACGGTTCGACTGCACGACTACGCGAACAGAGCGGAGAATTTGAGATACGTAGACTCGTGGGGCGTGAGGAACCCTCAGGGAATCGGGCTAATCCACCGAACGAGATTGATTTAAGAGTTTCGGCCGTTCTTCCGAGCAATTTCGAATAGTTGCACTTTAGTGTCTTTGGAGTATGTGACACTTGAAACAACTGAAATAGACTGCGGATTTTAATGCGTTTAGACACAGTTTAAAAGCTGTAAACGCACACAGAACGTGCAAAAATACTTTGTTTCTTTTAAACGCTCACCGAATTTGAAGAATTTGTGTTAAAAAGAAACGACCCTCTTCTGTTTTATTATTCTATTTTTTTTATATTATACTGCAACATTTTATTGTTCTAAATAATATCTAAAAATATTTCAAAAAAGAACCTCTACTTTTGTACGTGTAAGAAATTATACATCTAACTGTATTTGTTGTATTAGCAAATATTACGAGAGTGGTTTAATTTGAAAGGTTAAAGGTTACTCGATCTGTAGAATACACATGGGTATTTATTACAATATTTACTAGATGAAATAAATTTCAATTCGAGTTTCATTTCTTTACACATTTTCGTTGAAAATTAAAAATACAGAAAAATCCGCAGTCTAGTTAGAAGAATAACAAGGATTAGTTTTATAATAAATTTTTTTGTTGAATAAAACGTTGAAAGAAATATTTAGAGAGTATTCTGTTAATAAAGCATTCTTCGAGAAGAAAAAAGAACATTTAATTAAAAAATGAAAATGTCAAGTAGTTTGAATAATTCAGAAGGTTGTAGGAAGTAAAGAGAAATTTTAACAAATATTTAAAACAATATTTTTCAAGATCAAAACTAACAAATATAGTTAAAAGAGGCACAGAACAAGATTTCTACATCTAATGTAAGGGAACATCAGAGAAGTACAAAATATTTTACAATAAACGTAGAAATATTTTACAACAAATGTATGCATTATAACATAGAGAAATATCTATAATAAAATATTTAAAGTAAACTCTTAATTAAATAAGATACTTGAGCATTAAAGTAAAGTGATTCCTGTTAATTTAATATACATTTACAGACAGAAATATCGCATAAATAAGAACGATGTTAATTCCCAATGATCAATTACATACAAGTCACTATCGATTCGATGGATTATCTACAACAGGTCAGGTTGTACGTATGTACGTATATTAATAAAATATCAATACTGGAAAGGTTTATACTTTCTTCTGGTGTGATTGATACAGAGTTAGACCTTGTAAAAATAGAGTGATCCCTGATCAACTAGCTTTGATCAGTTATCAACTATTGAGTTGATTATTCAAGCTTCGAGGACGTGATTCAAGTAAGCGATGTAGCAGATGGCTAGTCTAAGGATCTCGATCTTCGAGAGTTTCTTCTCTGGTGGCAAGGTCGGCAGAAGCTTTCGAAGTTCTGCGAAAGCTAAGTTGAAAGCCTCCACTCGAACTCTTTCCCTGTGATAAACAAATGATTAATGTTCAAGGTATCGATTCTGCAGGGCAATTATCGAGATGTTTGTCGAAAAATCGAGAAATGTCAAATTCTGTAAGAAAGTTGTCAAAGTATTCGTTTTGATATTTCAAATCTCCGTTCTTTAAGAGTGTCAAAGTGATTTTAATAATTCAGCAGATTTGGTGCCATAAATTTACGTAATAAGATATTAAATTTACTACAATATATAATATTACATAAATATTAAACTTAACAAGTATTAAAAACATATCGATTCCTCAATTAAGAGAAGAAAAATTAAATCAATTTAGAGAATATAAAAGAAAAATGTAAGAAGTATAAAACGAATGTGTTAAATATAAAATAACAATATGAAATGATAATAATAATAGTAAATAAGATATTTGGATAATTTACAGGTATTTTTACGAAGTTTCTACCTCGTGGCATGTGCAGTTCGATATTTTTGCGTCGCTCTTCTGCGTCGACGTCTTTCTTCCCTCGAAAGCGTGCCGGCACCAGGTGCACCAACCCCGTTTACGACTACGCCGTGTCCACCGTTCGCCATTTTGTCTTCAATCAATAGGAACTCGCGAGAGGGAAGACAATTCTTCTTTCCTCCTTCTTCTTCTAATAAATTAACATTCAATTCCTCCGCGGATAAAGACTGGAGTCATAGAAAATGGAGCGAAGCATCCTTAATCCTCATGCTTTCAGCCTGAAATTTAACATTATACATATTTACTTGATTGAATACAAAGGCAGCTAAAGCAACAAATAATTTGTAATATCGTACAATTTTAACTTTTCTCAATCTCAGCTTGTAACATCGACGTTTGCCTGAGATGAAGTAACAAACAGTTCGTACTATTTTATAATTTTAAATTTTAATCTTCTTCTTCTTAATTCGTAATGTCTGCAACAATAAATCATTTGTTGGTGTTATCATTTTGATAATATCGTGAGTTATCATCCGTCGGAATAAAAGTGAGTCTCGGGGGAACGACGAAATTCGGAATAAAGGGGCTGTTTCCTGAGGAAAAATAATAGATTGATCAAATATTTGCCGTACGTTGGCAAAATTATTTGCCAAATATTTGACATATGCGTGAAGGCAGGTGCAACGAACACAAAGGGTTAATTCTTATGAGTACCTTTGACTCAGCAACTCTTTTTTTCTCAATGCAATTTTACGTAATTACACGGTAATTAATTAATCTTATAAGTGAAAGAAATTTTACTTAATAATTAAACTGTGTATGTTCATGAACACGATTTAAGGAATACACCAATGTAACATATAACAATATATATAACTGTTCGGTCTAGAACATAAGCTAACATGTTCTAGACACATTTTTAAAATGTTATAACGCTCAGGGTCGATCATTCGTTCGACGTACTGTTTTGGAGGCGATACTTGGCGTCGATCATCCTGTTCATTCCTATCTACACTACTATAAAAATAATAAAGCAAAACAAAAGAAAAATAAACTTATTATGGCCGTGTGGCGCCGTGCTGAAAAGATCAAGAATTTTTAATTAATTGACTAGCAATTGTCAATCAAAATAAAGTCAGACAAAACGCAGAAAATTTAAACTTGCAGCAGGCGTTAAACTCATAAGCACGTCGTGTTGTATTCATCACTCACAGCAGTCATATCTATAGTCACTCAATATTAAAGATAATTTCAGTTAGCACTCAATTTCTCAAACTTTATTTCTTTTGAGATGAAACTCGAGGTAGTATCATATTTATTCACATACTCAGAGTATCATACTTAAGTAATAAAACTCAATTTTGAGTTATACTATATATATAATACCACAATCGATACTATTTAATATCATGTATCAAAATATTCGACATACAATTTAAATGATAAAATTAAAATAATATTCGTTTGGACAAAAAAATATAATCTATGCACTTTAAATTACAATTTGTCATTTAAATAGCGCTTTAATCTTAAATATTAAGAATCAACATTAAACATTACAATTCCTTTGTTAACTCAACTTTCCCGTAAATCCACGAAACTTTCGCGGACTATAAATAAAAAGAAAGTGTGTAAAAATGCTACGAAACTAGCTTCAGGAGAAAGGGAAGAATATCGATGAATAAATGAGGAAAACTAAAGGTAAAGAGAGCGCTGTGAAAGAAAGAAGAAGTCTCGATACTCAGGGGGCTCTTAAATTTCGAGCAATTCGACGAAAATCGACGAAAGGTGTCATTCTATTATTCAGAGAAGCTTCGGCCTCTCCGTGTGAGACGCAACCCATCCCTTTTTAATTATTCACACAGAACAACCCTCGGTCTCGTTCAATCTGATTCTTATGGTAAACCGGCAATTCCTATGGACGTCTTCTCGCGGTTCCTTTAATATTTCAGAAAATTTGTCAGATTTTGATGTTTCGGTTTCACTTTTATTGCCACCTTCTTTTTTTCGAATCTCACGCTTTTTTCTTGTAATGTAAATTTTATTCTGAACGAATACACGGAACATTATCGATATTTTGAACTGTCATAATTTCGTAAAAAATGAAAATATACAATAATTCAAATTTTAAAGCGTGATCTTTCTACTCTGATAATTTTTTTTCAAAGATATAATTTTTACACTATGTAACCGGTGGAAAAGTAAGGGCATTTTTATTCTAGAAAATTATAAAAATTCTGATGTTTCTAAAAGCATTGAAAAATTTTTTTATAGACTTACTACCGTGGTCTTGAAGATTGAAATATTCTCTCTAGAATGAGCTCTTAGAATCTGTTGTACAATTTTATTTTTAACATTTTATTGATCTTTGAATATTAGAAAAGACAAAGTGTTAGGATTTCTTGAATTCTTGTCTTTTAATCTTAATACTAAAGAATTAAAATTATATTTCAAGATATGCATTATCATATTGTTTTCTCGATAATGAATTCAAATTTTAGTCAATATGACAATAAAAATGGTGTGTATTTAGAAATACAAAGAATGAGACATATATTTTATTAACTTTTACGTTCAAAATCCAGTATTCAATCTTACATTGTACTTTAAATTCAAATGTTGCAAGTGCTAACAATTTTGACTCACGCTTCTTACGCTTCACTGACCAAAATTAAATTGCCCTTACATTATACCGACCAAAATTTGACTTGTACTGTTTCGTCCGTAGACTAGAAATATTTCGAAAGTGAAGTAAATCCAATTTTCAAGAAAATCGAGATAAAGAAAAATCCACATATACTGTAATGTGAATATACCTTTTAATTATAAACAATTTATAATTTAAATCAATCAATTTTAATTTCAATCAATTTCAATGAAAATTTCGTCGCTAAGTCACGTAATTGACGGAAACGTAAACAATTCAATATCTTAAAATAATAGAAATTAGACGTACACCACTTTCAAACTGAATAATCCATACGATACTTCTGCATTCACTTTTCGCGTTCTTGAATTTCTCCACGAAAGTAAAAAAATCCGCAGCTCTACTTCTGTACATACATCGTGCAAAAACTTACTTTTGTGTTACTCTTACGTTACTTCCTAACCCTCCGCTGTCACTCCCTTCATACTTCAAACACATCTCACCACCATCTTCGATCGTTTATATCATTAAACTTTCTTTGTCAACAAAAATATCGCACATAAAGGGGGAAAAAAATGCTTTTCGCCTTGTGGATCGGTCAAACACGATTACTCCGCGAGATCGACGAGGTCTCTGATAAGATCTCGTCGCGTGAGCAGGATGCACCCCCACGTATGGAACGATTTCAAGGATCATCTCGTTGTCCCAGAAACCACGCCCCTGAGAACGTTCTGTTCTTGTTCATTGTTCAGTCTCTGTTCGCTTGTCTCTCTCGTGCAGCATCCCCTGCGGTTCTCCAATAGGAAAAAGGGAAACAGGGGGCGAGACCGCCCCAAAGTGGCCGCCATTGCGTCGCTATCGCGGAGTATGGAATGCTTCTGCCTCTCGTTGATACGAGCATTATACGCGAATGGATGGACCAATTTATCGATCATCCGAATAGTCCAGCTTCTGCGTGCTGAATTTTTGGCTGAGAAATTTGGAATAACGACCCTCGTCAGGTAAGTGTTGGATTATTTTATATCGGCTAGAAAGCTTTGCTTTCGTTTGTTCTCTGTTATTTCTCACTGATATTTTGTTTCTGTAAAAAGGGAATTGATTTAACACTTGAATTACCAAATTGTTATCAGAACGACCAATTTATTATTTTTCATAGAAATTTTGTATATTTTAAACGGCGTATTTTTAGAGATTTTTAGTAAAATATATATAAACAGAAATTTCTGTTTCTTTATTATATTTACAAGTCCTTTTTCCCCGTTCTTTGTACTTTAATTTCTCTGTTACAAATTTTATATTTTAATCGTTGGTTAAATTCTGGTGTTAAATAAAAAAGTGTTTTTCTTTTTTCTTCTTTCTACAAGATTTTAGATGAAAAATTTGGAATTGCTAGAATTAAACTTTTTGATAATAGACAATATGCTTCGGTTTTGTTTATGTGTTATTTTTTACTAATATTTTATTTGAATAATGTGTATTCAAATAAGTGTATTCTATTATAATAATATAATGTATTTTTTCTTTCTTTTTTCAAATTTTTTAAGCGTTTGCTTTTGTAACTAGAGATTATTAGATAGGAGTGTTAAATAAATATTGAATCATTATATTATAATATATAGTACTATATATCGTATCGAATAAAAATAATACTATATTTCATAGTTCGCATCTCAGATTGCATTGATTCTCTCTTATAATCTCTCATAAACTAAAGTCCACTTTAAATTCCTAATTTTTCGTCATTCTTCTTTAAGTTCCTTTCGTCAGTCGAATCAATCCAACCGTATTTTTTCAATGCTGAGGAAGTGTCATAACTTTGAACGAAATATAAAGAAATCACTAATTATTATTTAAAAACAAACGTGAATTATCATTGAAACTAAACGTTATATTGTTTCGTCACCCGTTTTGTTATAACTTGACTCTTGAGAATTTCAAAGAACGAGTTGACTTCCCTTCCACTATGAGAATTTCTACAAATTTCTATTGAAATTGAACGTTTCAATAAGCGTGACGATAAAATTGAAATACATATAAAAATCCGAGAATCGTAGCAGAGTTAAATCAAAAGTTACGTTTTGTTAACAAAGATACCTATTTCGAGTAAAAAGTTTTCCTAAAGGAGTGGTTCTTTGAGAGTGGTTTTTGCAAGATCCAAATACACATTGTAATTACAAAAATTGTTCCGACAAATTGCAAGGGTTGAATAATAAAGGGGTTGCTTCGAATAATCATATTCACACGACGATATACAACACGTGTCGTTGATTACGTCCTCGTGACCAAATATGAAACGAAGCAACCCGCACTTGAATCGTTCGATTCTCGATTAATGTTTCGTTTGGTCACGAGTGTCATGAGATAGTTCACGCTTCGTTACATCAACCCTTGCCTTTTTGACGCCTTCTATCGCCCCTTCGTGGCACGTGACTTTCGAGACGAATGAATTTCAAAGCAGAGACTGATGTGGTTTTTCGACAGCTCTCTTTCTCTGTGAAATTTATAATAGACTTGTTTGTGTATTTTCTGACTTGTATGGTGGATCGATTGTCATTGTGTATAACTGTTTAGAGGAGTAACATGAACAGATAGACAGTTTGGAAGCTGAACATAATAGTTGAAAAGCAGTGAATAAAAGACCGAGTTGAATTGAATAAAATTGAAATAAAGAAAGATTTAATTTTCTTTCTAGTGAAAATAAAGTTATTTTGTCTCGCGATTTTTCTAATTGTTTAAATGGTTGCTAACTGTTATAACATTGTTATAATATTGAAACATCATATTTACATATATTACATGTACGTATTTAAACATCTCGATTTTAAAGAAGTAAAGACAAAGATAGGATTAAAATAACGTTCCGAATTTTACGTTATGCAATATGATATTATAATAAAAACAATCAAGTAATTGAATAGAAGAGATTCATCAAATTCAAGAAAATATGATGAAATTCTTTAATTGAAAAAAAAAGAATTTTATCTTCAAGAAAAGGATAAATATCTCTTGAAGAAAAGGATAAATGTCTTAGTTGTTTTATTAGCATTCAATATCTTAATTTTTAAACAAAATTTATCGTTAGCTGCTGGAAAGTGGATAATAAACACGAGGGTGCAGCACAAACAAGATGGTGGAACAGTCCGATCAATATGTCAGTGCCTGTTGGTATACAGGGACTTGCACTCACCCTTATCGGTTGAAACCGTATTTTCTGGGGGAAATGTGTTTCACCAAAAATATTATACCAATGACAAAAATAATTGTCTGTATCTAAGTATTAATTATATAAAATATTTCACACTACATGTAGATATACTTTTCAAACACTAAACGTGTACATGTGTCGAAAATTTTCTCTAAAATAGTATCAGCGAACATAAAATTTAAAAAAATAGAATCAAACTTTGTAATTGCAAAATTTGTAATTTTATTACACAACGGGACGAAGCTAGTTATTATACATAGAACATTGAGCTAATAAAGCTTGAGATATAAAATGGGTTTTTATTAAAGCTTTTCTAGTTTTTCTAGCTTTCCATGTCTAACTATCTGATCATAAAAATAGAGAAAGAATCGAAATTACGTAAAATGCTTTTCAATTGCAAAATGTCGAATTTTACTATAGAATGAGATTAATTAATTCGACCTACCACAGATATGGAAACAAATAAAATACACAAAAAGCTGAAACCTTTGCGGATATGAAATATTCTAAAAATTTACTGTTAAAGCTCTTTTTATCCTGCCTTCATTTCTAGCACGTTCGGCCAATAATCGTTTAATCGTAATGCGTTTCTCACTGTAGAGCCAGTGACTGTTGGATGATCATAATCGTTTAGTTGTCTGCGAGTGGTTCTTCTTCTTTTTAAATCTCGTGACGTGGACACGCAGATGTTCAGTTTCTTCGACCATCTTGTTCTCCAGGCTCGTTTTATCTCCGTTCTAACTTCGATGTTCAGCAGACAGTAAAGCAGAGCCACGAAAGAACCCTGAAAAAAAGAAATGATTTATATTGTCAGTGTATTATCTTCGACACATTCTTTTTTAAATACTGAAATACTTGAAAAGAGACGAAGAATTGATCGCAGAAGAGCCAAACGAGTTCCACGCGATTATCATTGTTATAGGAGAAGCCCAGAAATAGAGTATAGTGAGCACCGAACAAGGGTACCAGTACCAAAGTAGATTTGGCCCACCTACTGTATAAAAGAAATAAATTTATATTCTTCGAGACAATGCTTCTTGAACGAAAGTATTTGAAGATATTTGAAAAATATCGAAATCTTCGATGTGTAAAATATTATGTGAATTATACGGCATAAATAATTATTATATTAATTAGCACGAAAGATTTCAATATTTTTTGAATAATTTCGAATACTTCTGTCCGATCGAATAAATATAATATATAAATACAAACATAATATATAAATACAAACATTATATATATACGTGATAATATAATAAATTTTATTTGTATCTGTAGTCCAGTAAATAAAAATTTTGATATAAAAATCAAAATTTTGATATAAAAAGTTGTGTACTGACGAAAAATTAAGTATTTAAGACTCAAATTTACCTATACTGCATCTTTTTTCGCTGCAAATGAACCGATGTTTTAAACTTGATGAATAGGACGCGTACTATGTTGAGGAACAGCAGAAAGTTGAACTAATAACATACATTTAGTCGTGTTGTCAGTCAATAATTATTGTTTCGAGTCTAATTTCAAACATCACTTACCAAAATCGATATTACAATGGGAATCTTTATGAGCAGAAATAAGGAACGATTGTTGTGGATAGTCCAACAATATATATCGTCGATCGTTGCTCGTATTATTATCCAAGGAACGACAACGAAAACAGGCAATCCTTAATTATACAGATAAAAATCACACTGTATCATTAATATTATTGAGTAACTTTTGTTATGTACGTTCATGATAGGGTTCTTTCAATAACCCTGAATCTCTTCCCAAATAGTTTTTTAAAGATTTTAATGTGATATTGAATTATTTTGAAATTCAATTTTAATTGACAATTAAACAAATTAATTAATTAACAATTAATTGAATTTTATCTTTATTCGATGTGTACATACGATGAATGTAAGTTCGTAATAAAAATCGTCGATACTTTTACAAGCTTGTGAAAAACGAAAAATCGTATTTGAGAGTTGAAATGATCTCGAATGATTTCCAAATGATTTCCAAATTAATTATGCATAATTTCAATTGATCAAATAGTATTTTATATCTACGTATATAATCTTACCCCAGCCCATTAAAATATACAGATTAATGGCTGTACTATGCCCAACGCAAAATGCCCAAACGACCAGATTATGGAGGTACAAACCCTCCATCAGGATCCAAGAGTAATTAGCAACGATGAAATACTGCCACGCACTCGTAATACCTTTGCAAATCATCGTCTGAAACTAATTACTTTAATTGAACATCAATTCTCGTCCATTTTCTCGTTTATCGTCTACTTATTTATTTATCTATTTTTTTTTTAACCCACTAAGGACGTAATATTTCATTTGCGATCCGTCGTTTGCAAACGTGTGTTTAATTTTTTCAATTGAATTTTCGAGAACAAGAGAACAAGAGAGTACCCTACAATGTACAATGCAAAAGCATCTTTGAAAAAATGAATTTGGATGTGTCGAATTTACATCTTTATTTCTTCATTGTAGATAATAATTTCTTATCATTGTATCGATTTGACATTCACAAGGAGCAAATTAAGTTCCAAAAATGTGGGTGAAGATATTATAATGTTGCAATTACTTACAAAAGGAAATTCCAAGGATTTGGAATTTTCTACAATCTAAATCTTACAAAACGTGAAAAGATTTAATTTTCTTAATAATATGATAAATCATTGCTCAGTCCTTAATGGATCGAGTATTTGATATGCCTACGTTTCGTTGCTTGATGAAAGCGTTCTTCTCGTCGAGATAGACGACATCCACCGTCCGTCTGATACCATCGACGAAGATCCAATCTCTGATCAGCGCCATAAATGCTCTCATTATGAAAGAAGCAAACAAATGCATGTGCAGCCTGTTCCTTGGATTTCTGAGTTTTCTAAGTGGATAAATTAATTATTAATTCCAATATAAATTTAATTTAATTTAGTTGGTTGTTGATTTTAATTTTCGTTAGACGAAAGTACCTGAGTAGAGAGAAAATGATCATCGCGATAACCAGCATAGTGAAGGACGTGGTATAACCAATTTGAGAGATGATTCTGATGATAGGCAACCATTCCTAATGACGATGAAAGTAAAGAGACGAAATGGAAATAAAAGATTTTGCTTCGAACTTTAAACGATCATTAGACTGGTTAGTACGTTTGTGTAATTTTACATTTTTATGAAGCTAATTAAAAAAAAAAAATTAAAGTTAGATAGAAAATTATTTTAGCTAATAAATATCGTGAAACAAATTGTACTTCAAATATTCTATCCATAATGATCGTGTTTAAGTTCAAGAGTCTCATCTTACAGCGAAGAGTAAAGATTCAAAGTTCCCGTAGTCTTGAGAATTGCTCGTCCCATTTCCCATGGCCTCCATGAAGTAACGAGTGGTGAATTCATTCGACAACTCACACAAACTGTAATTACTCTCGGGAATATCGTTAGGATTTGTGTACCATTGGCCATTTGCGAGACAAACTTTCGTGGCCATCGCTGTAACGCCAACATTCGCCAAAGTATTCGTTGCAGAGTTTAACTGGTACATCAGGTCGGTCTCGGAGGGACAGGGTAAAATAGCGGTAGTCGAAGCCTCGGTGTACGACCAGCAAAGAAAACCGTCGAAATGTGGCGGACAGTGTCGAAGTCGTAATGTTGCGTTTTGTAATGTTACGTTTCGATCTG